TAAACAGAAAATAATCAATAGGAATAAAAATTTCAGATGATCAAAATAATACTCTTTGCAAAAAAAATTAAAGACAATAGCATATTGTATACCATCATATACCTCAAATCACCAAGGGATTTTGATAAATTTGATCACTACCGTATTAAGAATAGCTTATTTCAATTTCAAAAAATTCGAGACTAAAATCACCATCCAACTTTGAACCCAAAAACCTCATTGTTTTTTTATTTTCTTTTCTTGTTTCTCCCTTCTTATTTCTCTCTTTTCTTTCTTTCCACCATTTTGAATTACTGAGCTACTACCTTTTTATAGCCAAATATTCCTTGGGCTCCAAGGTGATGATGCAAGACACACATATGCATGCTGACATGCTTAGCTTGCATCATGGCACCAATGGACTAATATTTAATGGACACTTCTTCATTGAATCCTTGAAGTTCTTTTTTTTTTTTGACTTCACTTTCTTCCCAAGATATTTTTCTAGTTATTTGTTTTAGTCCCTCCAATTTACATTAATTATTAGAGTTTTAATAATCATAATTAGATCCCTCTAATTTTTAACAATTCATTTCTTTTTCGGGATCAGGTTATCACATTTCAGGTTTTGGAGTATGCTATAATCTTGTACATAATGTATATGACTTATTCTCTTAAAAATTATTGTGTTTCTTTGAAAATGCAAAATTTGAGATTTTGAGCTTACTGCATATTTGATAAGATGTCAAGGTTATGACATTGTTTTCAAAAGGGTTCATAGATATAGCAAATAATTATTTTTAAAAAATGTATGCTTAATACTGATAGACAGAGGGTTAGTAGATGATTGACCCTATTGAGTGGGTTGCCAAGGCGACTACTTGTCCTAAAGCGGATTGGATATAGTAGTGGTTTTTGATGCTGACATGTGTGACATCACAAATTGTGTCTTACACGTCCTTTTTAAAAAGCAAGAAAGGCGATGAGATCTTAAGGTGTAAGACCCAAAAGATTTTTAGGGAATGGTTCATGCAAGAACTGATGTTAGACTAATTATATTGTCTATATGTGAGACATGCATGGTATTTACTATGATGGTTTAACTTCAAACATATAAACCTTTGATTTATAACTTGTATATTTTTAATAATGATGTGTTGGGAGATTTTTATAAATGTTCTACTTATTACATTGTACCTATACTTAATTATAGAAAGCTTTCATTACTTATTCGTATAGTATGAGAAATGTTGGTATTTAAAACTTTATAAATTGTACATACTTGGAAAAATAATTATCCTATTAGGCTGTGGTTGTTCACTTTTTACTAATATTTTCAGAGATTAACATGCATCTTGATACGTAGGTGATAATGGAATACATCGGTGGAAACTTGGATTAAGAAGAATCTATTTTGGAATCATTTGTATTTACCTGTATAACTTATTTACAAATGTTAGCACACAAACATTGTCTTTGAAAAGTTTGTCTTGAGACATTTGTGGTGCACATTTGATCATATCATAGAGATATTATTATTTTGGGTATTGTAATATAAAGTTATGACTTTTGGTATTAAGTTTTGATATATATTGGTATTTGATGTATCCAGATTTAGGAGGACTCTGTGGACCTCTAATTGTCACCTTGACTTTAGTTGGATTATATTTTGATGGATACATGTTGACGATATTTAGTTAGTTTGAATTATGTTAAGTTTTCACAGGGATGTTATTACTAACTGGTTAGAAGCCCGATTTTCAAATAAAATTCTGTCGAAATTTTTTAAAAAATATGTTTTGATTAAATCAAATGTTTCATTTCATTTAATTATTTTTGTAAACCGAAAAGAAATTTTGGGATAAATATTACTTTTTATTAAAGCATGCTTTAATGAAAATTGGGGCGTAAGAGATTCTTCTACAACTCAAATTTAGAAGTTTGAGTAATAACTTTTGAGTGTAGTTGTGATATCCTTTCGTTATTTGCTCTCAACTGCTCATACTTATCACCAAACTTTTCCTTTTTCCACTTCAAAATTCTAAAATCGACATGATCTAATATTGTTTATGAACTGCATTGCTTTTTCATATGTCCTTGCCACTTTCCAGCAACTCCAACTAACCTCATCCCAAGTTGGATCAGTAGTCCACATTTGTTCAAATTTGAACCTTCTTCTCTTTCCATGCCTACCCCCCCCCCCCCCCCCCCTCTTTAACAGTAGCTGATAATTATCGTAGTTAGAATTAGGGATGTGGGTAACCATACTTCCTGGAAATGCATTCAACCAAGAAGGAGAACCCCACACACTGTCCAACCTCTCCCTCACTGTATGAGGAAACTCATTCACATTCCACCTGCTGTATGGTAACCCTTGAAATCCTACATCATTCAATTCTGCATCTTTTGTTACATGTGATGGTAACTACTTTCTGTTCCTCGTTACTGATTTGATCCTGCTTTTAAGAGGAAAATAACAGTGATGAGAAAAGCAAGAGTAGTTGGCCGTATTTCGAGGATATGAATATGATTTCATCTGATTTGGAGGCAACGGTAGCAAAATAAATGGAAGAATGCGGAAAAAAGATCGCCTTCCAGTAGGCAATGAGAATTAAGGGTCCGTTTGGTTAGAAAGAAAACACTAATGAAAAGTAAAAATGACATATAGTGAAGTGAAAGAAAAAAAAATAATATAAATATATTTTCATGCATATATTTGATTAGGATAAAAAAATTGCAAGAAAGTCTAAAAAAAATTTCATTATATTCTTTGAAAGAAAATAAAATTACAATAAAAATTTTCTAATTATCCAAATTATCTTTAATTATATTAAATCAGCCTAAAGAAAAAAAAATATGTATTATAATTGAAAGTTTAAATTTTTTTTAAAAAAGTGGCTTGTAACCTAATTATATAACAAGCACCTGCATGAAAATCTTTGGACCAAATTATATAGTTAATGAAATCCATACTAATATTTTTTAAAATTAATAATCAATAAAATATTTTTAAAAAAAATAAGGGTAAAATAAGAAGCTAAATATAAATCATAACTTTCTTGCATTTTTTTGTATTGTTTACAAGAAAAAAAAGTTGGTTAGTTATGAGAAAATTCAAGCACGAAAGAAAATTATTTTTTTCAGCATTTTCCATTTTATGCTCAACAAACACATAAAAAATTTCTTTCTTATATTTTCTGTCATTCTCCCGCTATGTTTAGATAGAAGCGGCCTGCCCTCTGGATTTTTTTTTGAAAAAGTCAACAAAATTAATTCACGTTGTCGGTATAATGAAGCCAACTCAGTAGTAAGAATATATCATCAGCAACAATATTTTCTTTGTTTCTGCTGTAAATCTATCTTGATAAGTAAGGAGGACAGATAGAAATTAGTCTCGTAGCCTGTCTTAGTAGTAAATTGGTGATTGAGCATGGTTTTGCGACGGTTTTGTTTTACTTATGATCTTAATGATTAGTGGTGCATTTGTATTAATTTCACTGAGATGCCATGGACAAACTTTGTACAAGTAAACCTGATGAAAGAACACGAAGAGAGATGTTCATAAATCTAGGGAAAAATTACACCTACACCTCCTAAGATTTGTCATTTAATTATTTAGACCCGATATGTAAAATATTACATATAGATCCCTTAAAGTTTGTACGTGCGTAACACTTAAACCTCTATCGTCAATATTCATTAAAATATTTGTTAGTAAATTATATTCAAACCCCCTAAAATGTATAGACGTATAATATTTAAACCTTTCAAGTTTAAAATATTATACTATGACAAAAAATAATTCAATCAAAGATAGAATATCAAATATTTAAAATTTTATAACCAAAATTCATGTTTTATTATATCATTTATTATAATAAAATCAAAAATAAAAATTCAATTTTTTTTAAAAAAATTGTAATTAGCATACATTTATACTACCTATTAAACGATCAAACTATCCCAACTATAATATTTTGTCTAAGTATAATATTTTAAACTGGAGGGGTCTAAATATTATACACATACAAATTTTAAGGAGTCTAAATATAATTTGCTTAGGGATATTCTAACGGACATTGACGACAGAGGTCTAATTGTTACGCGCGTACAAACCTTAAGGAGTTTATATGTAATATTTTAAATATTAAAAATCTAAGTGATTAAATAACAAACTTCAGGAGATCTGAATATAATTCTTCCTAAATCTGGCGGTCCTGGTCAATGAATCAGCAGTGTGTAATAAATCTTCTTATGAATGTTTTGCAATGCATGTTACTTTCACAATGAAATATTATTAATCTGGGCTTTGTACATAACAGGATACCTGTTACGATCTTGCATGTTAACCAGTATTGAGATTCTAATTTTTTCAATCAATTCGACTAATGACATCTGCAAGCTCCATTCTGTTGCTGAGAATAAATCAATGGTCCTCGGAGCTATTCTTTTTTGCTTTTCCTCCGGGATTTTTTTTTTTTTTTTGGGGGGCTGGGGGGGGGGGGGAGGGTTGCATTGTATTTTTATGAATTTTTTATGTAAAAAAATAATTGAATCATAAAAGCTTAAGTATATTTTCTCACTTCATAGCAGTCGCCCCAATAGGCACATGCATTGGATCACAGATGAAAATAATGAATGTATATGAGAAGGAAAAACAAAAATAAATAAATATAAACAAAAAAATAAAAAATTAAATATACAAAAATAAACTCTACTTAAATTTCTTTTTTTTAAAAAATACATAAAAAAAAGTTACCAATTACCATACTTCATAGATGCTTGAGAAAAGGAAAACCAAGCAATATTCTTGGTGCTAGTTCTTTCAGACTTTGGAATGTATATTCCCCATGCAAAATGTCCGGTTGGAGCCCTTCTAGGGGCAATGGGAGTGGCGGGAGGGGCACAGATGGATGGAGATTGCAGCCAGGCCAACAACGGAAAAATAGAACAAAAATGGAAGCATGTTGTATTTTACCAGAAGCTACTGAACTGTGTTCTTGTCTTGGACAGATTGAATGTAAGAATTTATTCATCATTAACACAGCAGTACGAATTTACACAGTACAACCCTCTTGCATATTGGATTGTGTAAGATGAATGTCAATTGGAAATAAGATGGATGTGAAATCGTATCTACTAAATACATAGCAGCAACCAAAAATGCATTACAGAACAAAAACCTAACTACAAAAATAATTAGAAGGGAAAAGGGAAATGTATACTCATGTGCCTCTCACGCCAAAATGCTTCGTCTCCCAGTTGTGAAATGCTCAGCAGCCATATGATCTGCCACTTTTCCACAGGAATATTTTGCAGAGAAAAAGAAATGGCATGTCTACAAGCCTCTATTGCCAAATGCTGCTGCTCCCAGTCGCAAGATAACCACTTGCCCAAAAGGACAAAAATACACTCGGCTACTCGCCGCCAAGTACATCATTTTCCAGTCATGCAGTTTTTAGTAACGAAACTAGAAGTTTATTGTATTCTGCCTGTCTGAAGGAGCAACACACTGCCACAAAGAACGAAATGCAGGAATTTTTGCTGCATCAACTCCAAGAGCATTAAGGTTGCGCCCATACTCCTGGTGAAATGAAGAAAAGTTAAAAAATTAAAACTTTTGCAAGCTTCCACTCTTTACTAATTACAAGATTTATTCAAAGATTACCTGAATATCAAGAAACAATTGCATACATATTTTGTCAGTATCAGACACATTATGGTCTGAGACATCTGAGCTTGCTCCAGCTCGCCTTTGTGCACCCAGACGTATCTTCTGAAGTGAAGACTCCGTTTTCCTAGCCTGGCCAAGATGACAAAAACCTATAAATCAGGAGTGTTCAAGACAAAAAAGGTAGTACAAGAAGAGGTGGGGAGCTAAAATTTCACTACAGAATATCGATATAATATACTAACCACATTAACAAGGTCTGCAGCTAATTCATGATAACGACCAGTAATCTCAAAGGCAGTGCCGTGTAAGATTTCATTCTTGATTTCAGTTGTTAGATATGTGACCGCTCGCTCTCCATCCAAAAATGCCTGCAAAAAGTGGGGCCTTTAAATGAAAGTGTGATTTTTTGAAGTTAATTGATTAGCAAAAGCACTTGGATATAGATCCTATGTATAGCATCACACTTTCCATTAGAACAGGATGAAACAAAGAATTTAAATATGGTGGAAAATATAACATTGCCCCCAGATTGCCCCCAGGCATGTATACCTTGCTAATGCAAAGAAATATTATTATGTCTACAGTCTAATGTAACCAGTCCAATCATGGCACAGACCAAGGAGTATTTCTTGGTTTTTAAGGATGATGACATGATTCCTACAATTAGAAGTGTCATAAATCATAACAAGTTATATTTTCTGTATTTTATTGGAAATAACATCGGTACAATAAACGTGAACAAAACCTGCATGTGTCAGATCTTGTATTATGAAAAATAACAAAAGATAGAACATGAAGGGGCATAAAACAACTGTGCATGATTAGGATAGTTAATGAGATTATGTGCCTTGAAACACGCGACCAAAAGCACGTGCAAGAAACACGAGGGAAGCACCACATCAACCACAGTTAAACCATGCAGATGATGTCAAAATAGTAAATTCAAAAAGCACAAAAGCACAACGCACAAATAGCCTTTTATACAGACCCTTCAACAAGCAAGAGAGCAAGACAAGGCTAAATTGACAGAAACGTTGCCCTAATCACAGAAGAACATTCATCACATCCTTATAAGCAGACAGAAGAAGTTTAGGAGAGATCCTAGCATCCAAAAAGGATTCGGCTAAACATTAGATGTGCCACCTAATGTGTCCAAAAGCTAAATCGTGGCATAGACTATGCCGTACAACCTTATAAAAACCAGGTTAAGCCTGAGTTAAAGGTACACAAAAGAATCCTGCAAATTATGTTCCTCTCTTTCAGAACCATTACTGACTTAGGCATTGGAGTGCCTCCGACCGGCCTACCCTTGGTCTCTGGCAATTTGCTCATTTTGTAGGACCAACGGTAGTGCAATCCTTGCTCACCTCCCCAAATAAAAAACAAATCAAAAAATCTTGAATGTAAGTGATTTTTTTGCTTCTTATAGAAGTTATTCCAAATCCCCCCAAACCACAATATCAGACTGAACAGCAACCCGAAATGCCTAGCGAAAGAAGTCCCCAGAAAATTGATTGATAAATAAATAAATTGTGCCTTTCTAATTCATAAGGTCAAAACATCAACATAAATCACATAACATCCTCAGAAATGTTTGTGACATTGCAATTGCAAACTAGAAAAGGTTGTAAAATTAAATAACCCTTCCCAAGCAAGAAGAGAAGACTGCATTGTGATTTAAAATACTCTCAATATTACTTCACCATGATTAAATTTCCCACTTTAATATAGTGAATGAATTTTCGATTCGAACAAGATGTTATGCCATGCAAAGGTTCTGTGGAGAATTGACATCTGAGGGTCACGCACAATGAGCACTTTGAATCCATGTAGTTGAGAACCCTCCCAACCCAAGCAAATGACACAATTATCGGGGGTGTACTCTACCACGGAGCTAACAGCCCATTGTACCAGCATATCTCATTGGAGGCCTGTTATGCCGAAAGCAAGAGAAACCCCACCCCCCCTTTTTCCTTTTCCCGTCCCATGTTGCCATCCAGGGGACATGAGTACATGAAAAAGGGGATCCTATCAACTTTCCCTGGTCTATGATAATAAGCTCATGCGTTTGGTCACTTTATCACCAACAAACAAAATAAGACTCTCATCTCCAAGTTAAACTTATATAGAGCATTATCTCCATGTTAAACTTATATAGAGCATCCACCTTTTTGCATGAAGCAGTGTCGAACCAATATAACCAACAAGCAGTAACTCCCCCTCGGAAAAGGAGGTGATACAGCTGCACCTTCCAGTACAGACACCTTGTTATCACTCCAGATCCTGCACTACTGCTAAAACAGTATTTCTTCTTCTACTACTACAACTACTACTAGTAGCAGCCGTAGTAGTAGTACTGTACTCAAAACAAGAGGAAGACTGATGCAATATATCCTATAATTGGAAGAAGAATGCATACCTTCAAAGGTCGTAACACTCCTGTGACGTATGGTGAATGTCTAATAGGGAGAGGTTTATTAGTCATCCTGTACGTTGCAGTTATTCCTTTCAGTTGTCTCAAGTCCTACATCAATTTTAAACAATATGAATTAATTACAAGCATCAAGTTGAACATAAAATCTGGCACCACATCTCCACTTAGATTCACCCATTCAACATTGCATAGCAAACTCAAAGAAAAACTATGATTAGATATATAGCTTACCTCCACAGACTTCTCAACTAGTGTTTCTACTATTGAGTTCATCACTTGAGGTACAAGCTCCTTTAAAGATTTTCCACCCTGTAAAATGCTCTGTTTTACAAGATCAAGTATTTCGGCAGAGCATGACTTGAGAAGCTCAAGTACTTGTCCCAGGTAATCACCACAAATCTCCATCACCAGACAATCTAAATCATGAATCACCTGCAAAAGAAAATTTCATGTAAATTAAGCATGGTTACCTATTGCATAGGGTATAATGGCATCAATAAGATGTAGTCTATACATCATAAGTCGCACACATAAAAACATGAAGCTCAAGCTTCTCAAATTGTTAACAAGTTTCTCTAACTAGAATTCAGGAGGAGTAAGTGAAAAAAAATATGGATGTGAAAAATGGAAGAAAAAAATTGTAATTGAGAAAAGTAATGGACTTAAAGAAATCACAGACATAAGGTAACTGCCCTGGGGTCTTCAGTGTGAATCCAGATCTTTCATATTTAGCCAACCTACTTTTGCTTGTTATAAAGTACATCACACCAGAGATGCCAAAGAAATATTGTAAATGTAACAGCATTCTTGCTTTTGAAAGCCTTGGCTTTTACCATTGTACCACGCCACGACACTTATAGAGTAGAACACCAAACTATATATACTTTTACTACAAGATAAGAATCCACTTAATTTCCATGCTCATATACCGTAAAGACCAGTAATATCAGTAATATCTCCATGCAGAGACTTAATGAAGAACAAAATGCAAATCAGATAATTTTTCCTTCTTAATTGGCTATTTCACATAAGCAAGACGATATATCAAACATCCTATATAAAGGTTATTTGAATAAGTGATTGTTTATATGTTATACTACTCAAAAGTAAAATTTAAATGCAAATTCTTCAATCCCCAACAGAAAGATTAGCTGCAGAGTACATAACATAGGCATCAAGGCTTCTTTTGCAATTCCATTGACAGATTGCATCATTAGCCCAAAGAAAACAGATAGTTTGCTTGGTTCAGGTTCAACATGTGCTTACCACATCCATGTTCTGCCGGCAAATACATCCTAAGAGATATCCTTGGACATTTTAAAACATCAAATAGCATATGCCAGGACCTGAGTCTTTCTAGGTAGTTCTGGTTAGGATGCCCAAAAACTAGGTCAGTAAGTCGGTATTGTCATGCAGTAACTATTCTATTTATAGTTCAAACAGATTTCATTTTCCACGATGATCATTATCACAGAAATCTTCTCCCCGTCAATTAGATTTCAGAGATGGAAAACCAGGGGCATGTCCCTCCCTAAAGAGACTTACCAAGAAAAAATTGAATAAGATATTCCTCCATCATTGAACCCCTCCCCCCCACCCCAAAAAAAAAAAAAAAAACAACCAACAAAATGTGTACCCTGGAAAGAGCAAATAGCAAACCGATCATAGAAAAAAATTGTTCCAGAGAAGAAAGTACGATATACTGATATTAACAAATGATGCATACATACATATATGAGATCATCTGGTAGAGCAGAAATAGCCCATTCAGACCCAGTGCTCGAGCCAGCATTACCAGCTTTACGAGCAGCCAGTCCAGCTGACAACCAATTTGAGTATCTATAAGGATTATGCAATCAAATAATTCGAAGGTCAGCAAATTAGTTCTAATATATAGGAAAGTTCAAATTTTCTCATTCCAAAATTCACACTGACCTAGAAAGGAGCTGCAAAGATAAGCGAAGAAACTTGTCAGAGCAAGAAAGAACAAGAACATCCTCTCTCCAGCAGGATCTCAAGCACTCTAAAAGAGAGACACTTTGCTTTAACTTTAAATGTTGAGAATTTTGTTGGTAAGAATTTGAGTTCTGAACTGGCATAAGACTAGCAACCACAAGTGCAGAATCCAAAGCCCTGGCAATCTCCTGAAACCTGAGGCTACAAATTTATATCAGTTGCTCATGACATTGCTTTATGTTCTTATTGGTTTTTTTACCCTCTCTTTTTCTTTTTTTGATTTTGTGAGGGTGGGGTGAGGGTGAGGGTGAGGGGAACGGGAGGATAAGCAGGACATAGAAATAAATTGATTTTTTCTATTCTGACAGACTAGCAATTGTCTAATAATACTGAGTACCTCAATGAGAAATAGACCCCAACATTCCACTGCTTCATAAAATCAATATAGACTGCCTCCGCTCGAAATTTCACAACCGCAGATCTGGATGGGCAGTAACCTTGCATAACCATTGGATGTTATAACCCAAATAAAAAAGTTATATGCATATACAATGTATTTTAACCGGCCATAATTGGAAATAGAGATACAACAGAAGTCTTTCTACTACCTTCTAAATGAGTCAAGAAATCCAGGCTTGATATATAATTTTTTAGAAACTCTGTAGGTCTTCCAGGAGAAAAGGCCCCTGGTTTTTCCCTTTGGATTGCCGAGAGAACCTCTTTAAGGATTGAGTTAGCCAGGAAGCAAAATACATGCAAACCTGAATTTTCTGCACGCCATGTCAAACACTGCACGTGGTTAATAAACATAAAATAAAAAATTTGTTGTTTCCTATCCTTTTTTGCTGCCAGCTTTGAAACATAAGAAACTAGCAAGAAAGCGCAGGCATACAGCACACCTTTTATTATTTCAGAATATGAAATGCAAGTCTATTTTCTTCATATTGATCAATTACTCAAAATGAAAGCGAGATTGAAGAACATCATGCAGATTAAAAACAGGATGACCAAAGAAGTAAAAAGGATTGGAGAAGGATATGTGAAGATAGAAAGAATTTCTGGTTCAGCATCCAAATAGACCCCAGTCAAATAAAAGGTATTAAAGAAATAAAATGCTCATATCTGAGGCAGTCATATCAGAAACGAAAATTGGAAAAGCAAGAGATTGTTGAATCAAAATTCATGAACCCAGCAACAAAGGTTAATGATTATACCTGTAGAAGAAATTTCCAACAAAAATTTACAATCTTTTTCAACAAATTGCTTGACTTGTTTATAATCCTCCTCAAGTGCATCTCCAGATGCCCCACCAGTGACCCCCAATGAATTGTTTGGAATAATTTTCTGTATCAACGGTGCCACAACATTTGTACGAAAAATTTCTTCAGCGCTCTTGGTATTATCAATCGCTGCATATGCACGTAAGCAATTGTATATTGCAATTGAATCCCGATGTTCCAGGCCATCTACAAAACAGCATCCCAAGCTTGTGTGCAACAATGCACTAGCACTCTGTATCCTCTTCTCCATGTTCCCAATGAAGGGCAGATTCTGTACTGCCATAATAGAGAAAAGACTTTGCATAAGTTATTAACACCATTATTTAGAATCCACTGATTCTTCACAATGGAATTTAATCTATAGAAACTAGGTGGATGCAGATCCTCAATAGAGCATTAACACGTACCAGAGGAAATTAACCAATTCAAAAACAATAAAATATTACACAAACATAATTCCACCATATCCTCAGGATAGAGGAATTGAGAATTTCAAACACATTTGAGATAGCACATCTGATGAAAAGGTATTGACTGTTCTTCCATGCATGCGTTGCAATAGCTCAAGCAAAGATAGCTACTTGTTTGTAAGGAATGTCTAGGTTATTGCCCTAAATGTTGCATAACTACCAGTATGATGAGACTCATACGCAAGCTGAAAATGCATTAGATACATAGGGAGAGAAAAATAAAAGAAAAGGTCACAAGAGGACAGCTATTATACCACAAAAATTATAGCTATCTGGCAGCACAGTGATTTGGGCTAGGGAAGAAAGATGTAATTGCATTAGCATTATTATATGTGTGTAAGAAGGTTATCATAATTGTCAGCTTCTTTGACAAAAAGGTAATTTTTCTTTTTTATACTAAGGGAAAGGGTGACCTAGGGATCTATGTAGCTCAGCAGCCTCAGCTCCTGTTTATCCACATAATATACTCACGTAGACAAGAATATTTGATTGATTATTGATACATTGATTAAATAATCGGAGTTTATACTCGATATTTCATACTTCAATGCGCTGGTACCACTGAGATATGAAGTTTAAAAATTCGCATTTGTTTCGAAGTATTTCATGTGGCCCAAACCCACTTCAAATTCTATATTGTCAACTCAGCAGTGTTTCAAATCCTCCTTGCTATTTCTCTTAGATTGGACTACAGCTATATATATAATCTATCATAAATGTTAAATGAATTGTGAAAACTAAGAACTAGCACCTATTTGCTCAGCAGGACATTTCACCTTGGCAATCATAGGTTATATTAGAGGCAACCAAGTGATGCTCTGGACCAACACTAAACTTTAATCTTTCAGGGGAAAAAACTTACAAGTTGCAGTAACAGATCTCCAAAAACAAGCAATAGTAGTTTAATGTTACCATAATCACAAATCCTAGGACAAGTCCAACAATCAAGAATGACTTAACAAAAGGATGAGAGCATGATAAGACCTGCGCATGGGAAATGTAGAAGTTGAGCCTGTTCATTTCGGTGGCAATTCTCTCCAAAAGCATGCTTTGAGTCTCCCTGAGACTTGTTCCATTTTCAGCATGTTGTAAGGAGATACCATTGCTTAAATGACCATTTTCTGTATAATTCACATCTCCATTGGACCAATCGGCAGGCAAACTAGGCAGCTCTGTTATCAGTTCTCAACCTTCACTCAGAAGAATCAAAACTTCATTTCAACAATATGCACAAATCATTGGGAACCAACCAGACCAATTAATTTTGTTTCCCTTTTCTTCTATCACTAACAATACTCTATATCTGCTTCAAAAAGCTTGGAAATGCAAATGAATGACCATACCCAAAGAACATATTTAGGTGTTAAGATATTCCACACATAATTGGGACGCATAAGATAAAACCTTCCCACTCTAGATGGCACCTCTTTAGGCTTCCACAACAAAAGAATTTTCGAAGGAATTCCGCTCTTTTCGATTACGGATCATTGTTGTTTTTTGCTTTTAGCTTCTTAATCTTATTTTCAATTTTGTATTATCTACCGGACCCCCTTTTTCTCATGTACTCTTCAAACTTTTATCATTCATTTTATTCTTGTTTCCTTGAAAACAATATACATAAAGACCATCAGAAAAAATATGCAACCATGGCCAGAGCCATGTTATGGCCAAGGGAGCCACGCCCCCCCCCCCCTCTTTCAAGTTTCAAAAATCATGTTTACACCACTTGAAATTATATTCGCCTCCTCCTTAAGTTAAGTTTTTTTATTTTTATATGACCCTCTCAAGTTTTAAAATTATACTTTATATTCTTAAAAATTATGATTTTGGTTTCCTTGTTTCTGTCAATTATTGATTGAACATGTTATACCATTAACCATTTAGAATATTGTTGTGGATTTTTTTTTTTTTCAATTTAACGAGTTGTGCAAAATTAAATTTAAAAATTTGTATAAAATATCACACATTTGAACGATTTGTGGTGCAATATATCTAAATCAATCCTAAATGGATGGGGTGAAATAAAGGCCATAGTTTATGGGAACAAAATATCATTCACCAGAACCTAAATACAAAGGGTTCAAATCCGTATAAAAACAACTTTTTGAAAGACCTGCACACTCTTTGTTTCCTTTTGTGCTGCTTTTCGTAATTTGCAAAGACATGATAAATTTTAGTTGTTCTCAAATGATTATGCAATAAAATTGACTTAAATTATTGATTGTTTCACGAATTAATCTAAAGTGTTCTACAACTAATTCGCTCAGCAACCTTGAATCAAATTTCTCTATTTACTAAGAATAAATAATATTATGATGGATCATGTAAAAAAATGATTTTGATATATTTTACTCAACTAAAAATTTAACATTAGTTGTTGCTTAGTGAATGACCCCCCATTGAAGACAAATGTCCAGTTACATCACTATTTGGGCCTCTAAGAAAATAATCCTCGCTTCATCCCTAGATGTGACCCTCCATTTGATTGGAAAGAAAACAAAGTAAAACACATGGTAATTCTAAATTTATGCTTTTTTCTTTTCTTTTCAGAAAGCTAGAACAAGGTTTGCATTGAAACAATGAAGAATTTAAGATCCAAAATTCTACTTCATTTGCACCTTCTACAATTTGGTAGGGCCAAGATTTCAACTCCTCTTTGCCAACACATCCTCAGCAACCAAATGAAGCAATATTTCATATCCTTCAAAAGGGTATGAAGTGTCTTTTTGTTTGCATAGAAAAAAGACCAAGTATACAATTAACACAGAATATTTAGTCGACCAAGATACTTTCAGTACATAATTGTGTACAACTAAGTTGATTGAAAGTTCCCATTTGTTAGCTTCAAGTTATGGTAATTCAAAGATCCCAAAAAGAAATTTGGTTTCTGGTCCTGCATCATCCCACCAAGCAAAAGGGCTAGATGCTTCTGGGTATTCAAGGGATGTTAACTAGTATTCTCTTCATAATCTGAGGATTCTAAGTTAATTTCAAAGTAAAATATTGAAGGTGTAGGATCAATTTCTTTTATCAAAAAGGAAAATTTTGAATACAAATATTAGTTACATAAAATGCAATCCTACATTCTTGAAGGTGTAGTATCATTCCAACTGTACCATGCTCATAGTACTTTTTTGAAAAACGAAAAAATTGAATACAAATATTTTTTTTTCGGAAAGTGAATACAAACATAAGTTACATTAAGTACCATCCTACATTTCCTCAAGAATTGTACCCCGGCCATATAGTAAA